AGCAGATTTCCTGTAGGTCAAGGTTAGAAGATTTCCTGTTGGTCAAGATTAGAAGATTTCCTGTAGGTCAGGGTTAGCCAACTTCATGTGTGTCCAGTTTAGCAGACTTCCTGTGGGTCAGTGTTAGCAAACTTCTTGTAGGTCAGGGTTTGTAGATTTCCTGTAAGTCAAGTTTAGCAGATTCGGTGTGGGTCAGTGTGTGTGTTTTTTTTAAAAATATAACTTTATTTACTAAAAACAAGTAGAATACAAATATGGCAATTCACAAAAGTGTAACTCTAAAAAGGACATAACAAAGGCAGACTTTGATATGAAAAAAAGGAAAGAAAGAACGAGAAAAAAAGATATAAAATAAAATAAACTACAAGGGGTTATATGTTTTGGGATTAGGATTAAGATGGGTCCTGTGATGGACTTGCGACATGTCCAGGGTGTACCCCGCCCCTCGCACAGTGTTTGCTGGACATGGGCACCGGCGACCCCCGTGACCCAAAATGGAAGAAGCAGGTAAAAGATAATGGATGGATGAATTAACATGCATTAGTGGGCATTTCCAATAACATTTCATACAGGTCTTCATGTTTTTCAATATATTTCAGAGATTTCAAATATAATTGGAATTCAGATAAAAAAAATAAAAATTTAAAAACTGGGGATGATTTTAGCACTCTTTGTTTATGAATATAGAATTTTGCCAGACAAAATATAAGATAACAACCGAGTTCCATTTTTTTGTTTTTCAATAATACATCTAATGTTACCATGTCTCTGGAAATAGATTCAGGAAGTGTAATTTTCAGTGTGATCCATCTTTCTAAGTAATTCCAAAATATTTTGGTTTTGTTAGAAGATATGGTCTATTGTTTCTATATCCTTTTCACAGAATGAGTATTTATTGTCCTCAATATTAAAACGATTTCTTAGTAGCTCTTTGGAGGGGTAAACTGCATAAAAAATTTTAAAGTGTGTTTCTTTAGCCTTTGGTTGTATGGGGAGTTTTAAATATAGAGTTCTTAACATTTATATTGATTTTTTGTCAAATTTGCAAAGTATGTTATTTTTATTTATTTTCCCAGGGAATAAGGTTTCATTTAGACAGCTAATTGTGTGGTTGTTGAATTTTTTGTCAGTAAATGATATTCCATTAATAGGTAGAATGGGTAATTGCGGGGTTATAGGATGATATGCTATTATATTTTGAATCTGATTAATAAATTGTTTTGGTAATGTTTTAATTAATCTGGTAAACTCAACTTTGGGGGGATAGAATTTATACTTCACACAGAATTGTTCATAGTTTAACATGTAACCATTAGCATCCATTAAGTGTACAACAGACCAAATGTTCTTCTCCATCCATTCTTTGTAAAATAATGTTTTTTTGCGGTGTGGGTCAGTGTTGGCAGACTTCCTGTGGGTCTGGGTTAGGTCTTTATTCAGATTTTTAATCTTTGATGGTTCTCTTGGATTTCAGGTGAGCTGCTGGCTGAGTTCGCCAACTACTTCCACTACGGATACCACGAGTGTATGAAGAACTTGGTGCACTATCTGACCACGGAGGACCGGGCCGAGACCAAAGACATCAAGTATGCACGAATCCTGGCCTTCCTCCAGTCCAAGTCCCACGCACTTACAGAGCCTCTGTTTGGCGCCACACAGGACCCGCCTGACCTCCTGAGCCAGCTGCACTCCTCTCCGGACAACCACAGCCCCTCACCGGACTCCGTGTACCAGCAGAGCCCAGCCGGACACTTCTCTTGGCATGGCACGGCTCGTAGCCCGGCCATCTCGTACCAAAGCGTGCCGCTCTCTGCGCACGCTCAGCAGCACGGAGCATACCTGTCACCGGTGCAGGGACACGACCACCATTATTTCAACTTCTTAGGTCACGCGCACGCAAACACATTTGGTGTGCACAGCGTGCAGCACGCCATGTAAAAACTGCTAAGGTCTGTTGTTTTTATTTATTGTACATGCTGTGAATAAATCTTTTCTTTCTCAGTCAACTTGTTGACTCCTTTTAGGATCCATGCATGGCAGTCCTCAAATCACCCCAAGTGATCCTTAAAAGACCAGAGACATGTTCTCCTTCAGTTTATTACATAACTGACACAATATGTTCACACAAACATTTATATTTTTATATTACAAACATGAAATTCTAAAATGTTTGACAGATTTAGTCAAAATGCTACAAAGAATATCAATTTCGTCAACTTTTATTTAGACAGGTTAATCCCAATAAAAGAATAAAAACATTTTGCACTTTCCACATTCAAGCAGAAACAGTGCCTTCAACAGGTTGAATAAAGAGGTCTGCTGAGTTTAGGTTTGTTAAATTAAACAAATGTATTGTGTCTAAAACCAACTCTTAATAACGTGTTTCCTTAATTCAACATGAACAATTACACTGATTTAATTTAGAAATAATGTTTAAAACAACAAGTTGGGCGGCTTTTATCATAAAAAATATTATTTACTTCATTTCTTTACATCAGCTCAATGAAACAAGATAATTAGAAACGACCCATTAAATTTTATCAGATATATAGTTTGAATTTTGATCGTCTCGTCTTTTATCCGTGTACATTAATTCAACGAGATGGAAAGGAGCTTGTTAGATTTATGAACTTGTGTTGGGTCAAAAAACTGTCCGGTCATGTTTTTTCTGCTCACTGAGCAAGAGCTCCTTGGACAAAAGGCTCAAATAAAACTGCTTACGAAAACTTGTTTCTGAGCATAATAAAAATAATTTATGGACCGTTTTCAGAGGAACGTCTTTCTGTATTCTTGATCTAAACTGATCATTGTGACTTTATTAGTAAAGAGGTCAACGTCCCAAAAGTACGACTGAAAAAGGAACCAAATGATAAAGTTACTGTCCAAAAACCTGTTTCTTCTTCTTCTTCTTCTTCTTCTACTTCTACTTCTTCTACTTCTACTTATTATTATTATTATTATAGATTATTATTATAGCTTATTATCTATATTAAACGGATAGGTTAACAGTTGGAGCCGACTATGTGCTGACTAAAAACCCTGGGAGGAGTAATGAGTGAGTGGAAGCAGCTGAGTGGAACTGAGCAACAACATCAAACAACATACTGAACTCAGGAAGATGTCCTAAAGGAGCAGAGAAAATAGTAATAAGACCAATTACATGTAACAAAACAAAATAAACCCCAAATCATCACATTTTTTGCGTTTACACGGTTCGAAACTGCAGAAAGTGCAGTAAAAAAATATTCACTGGCAACAGAAAAGGTTCATTACCCGTAATCCAAAACGTTACTTCAAAAATTTACACAAAAACACATACTCATTCATCCTTTATTTAAACAGATAAATCACATTGAGCCTTGAAGACTCATTCACAAGTGAGACCTGCTTGGACAGACAAAAAACAGTGGTTAACAGGACACATGTAGGAGTTGGTTATCGTGATTATCATAACCACCACTGCTCCCTGTACTCACTGGTTGACTGGTCATCATTAACTTCACACAGACTCTCTCACTGGTACATTTTCATCTTTAAATCACTTCTTGGTCTGCTGCCTTCATACATCTCCTCCTTCATGTCACTGCGTGTGTGCAGCTACAGCGTGCGCACTCAGGACATTATTACCTGCAGTGTTCCCTCAGTGAGAACTGAACTAGGAAAAAGGTCCTTCTTCTACTCCGCTCCTGTTTCCTGGAATATTTTACAAAAAGATCTGAAGCTCTCGACCTTGACCTCTCTAAGTGGCTTCAAACATCTGCTAAATTCATGGCAAAAACAGCTTCATTTTCCTGCAGGATCAATAAAGTTCTATCTTATCTTATCTTATCTTATCTTATTGATGGTTTTCATTTGTTGAAAAGACACAAAATGACCAATTGATTAAACATTTTGGTAAAGTGCACAAAAAAGTGTAAAAATACCCCCAACCTCCATCCATCCATTATCTCTACCCACTTCTTCCTTTTCAGACTGCGGGGATCACTGGTGCCCATGACCAGCTCTCACTTTGTGAGAGGCGGGGGGACACCCTGGACAGGTCTCCTGTCCATCACAGGGA